CATCTGGGGAAGAATGCCTGCAGGGCACACATTTGCATTCTCCAAAACAAACAAGCCATCGCCACTGAGTTGTTCTGACTTGTTCCTCAAACCTCCCTGCCATCAAGTCAGTTCTGACCCGCAGCGACCGACCCACAGGACAGGGTCGGACTGTCTCTGGGGGCTCCGGAGACTATAGCTCTTTACAGCAAGAGAAAGCCTCTTCGCTCTCCTGCTGGTGGTCCAGCACGTAACCCATGACTCTATGGTTTCCAAAGATGGAGCTCTCTCTTGGCGCGTCCAGTCTCATCTTTCTCCCAAGGAGCAGCTGGTGGGTTAGAACTGCCAGCCTTGCAGTTAGCAATGGCTAGCTCCATTTCCCTGTGAGGCATAAGAAAATTAACGCTCTCAGGGGTTAAGTCATGAGCTCCCAAACCATGCCAGCAATAAAGAATGAGGTCTGAGTTTGGTTCCAGATCCGGTTGATGGACAGCTGCGTTCTTTCCTGGAGTCCGCAGAGCCTGGGGCAGGGGCAGGCCTCTGGGCATGGTCCCGCTTCCCAGGGACCCAGGGTGTGTAGAAGACCTTGGTCGTGCCACGTGCTTTGCAGTTAGGTTGTTGCAATGAGGCTGAACCCAGTTTGTTCCAAATTCCCCCTGAGCGCTCCTGGAACATCATCTCTAGGTGCCAGAGACCGGAAGTGGGGAAGGGAGAAGGTTCTTGGGCAGGGAGACGCTGCTTCCCCCAAACGAATTCTCCTTGGGCTCTAGGCCTCTCCCCCATTTCCTTAACAGGAAGTTTGGAAGGGGGAAGGATTGCTAATCCTTGTGTTTGAGTGGATTTAAGCATTTATGAAGACCTTTCATGTACATTGCCACTTTCATTCCTCTGCTGTAGAGCTTGACAGGGCACGCCCTTCGCGCGCGCGCGCGCGTGCGCGCGCGCACACACAGTCCACCGGCCTCCTCCATTTCCAGATTTGCAGCAGCCTCAAGAGTTGTCCTCTGGCTGATTTTGGAAGTCACCCTGCTGTTAAGAGTGGAGTCAAGACTTAGTGTAGGGGTGGGAAGGGGGGGGGGGAAGAGGAGCTGACATCAAGGGCTCAATAGAAAGTAAATGTCTAGGAAATAATGATGGCAACATATGTACAAGTGTGCTTGGTACAATTGATGTATGGATTGTTACAAGAGCTGTAAGAGCCCCCCAATAAAATGTTAAAAAAAAGAAAAGGTATCAGACCTTAAATGTTAGAGTAGACCTGCCTCTAACAACATGGGGGTCCATAGGAGCAATTGTATGGTTATAATAGATAGAGATCATAGTAAAGTCAAACAGAGTAGGAGAGACAGGAGAATGTCAAATGAAGGCGTCAGACACATTTCATGGTAGCATGCTCACCTCTGGGACGGCCAGGCTCTCAACAGCCAGGTCCTGGGTCGGGTCCCAGCAGAGAGTAGGGGAGGAGGAGGAGGGAGGAGAGAGCGTATGCTCTTTATTTCTGACCAAGGCTTATATATACTCAGGGGGGGTGGGGGGCGCAAGCCCCACTCATTACATAAATCACAGTAGGGGATGAGCTAGGGGTTTACATGCAATAGGAAGGGGAGGGACTAGGAGTACACATGTGACAAGATGGACGGACCCTAACCTTGGTCATTCTTGAGTGGGCTCAACCTTGCCTCTGGGCTCTCCTTCAAGGGAACGATCCACTATCCTAATAAGGAGGGAACCCTACTTAAGGTGGGACAGACTATACAGTCTGCTTGTCCCAGCTGGCTGATCACCTTTAGGGAGAATAACCTCTAAGCAGCTTGCACTGACCTCCACGTGTACAGTCATTTACCATGTGTAGCAAGCAATGTCTTAGGTTTGGCATATATTTGGGGAAGACAGCCTGGGGAAAAACCCTTTTGCAAGAGGGAAAGTTGATGCGGGGGTGGGGGGTGGGGGGAGGGAATGGGGAGCTAATAACAATGATTAAAAGAAGGAAGGAAATATAAAATTGTGTTGCTGATTGAACTATTGAATTGTATGATATATAAATTATAGGGCAATGAACTTGTCAAAAGAATAAAATAAAACACTTATACCAAAAAAAAGGGTTTAACATGGGTTTAAGTAGAGAGTTAATCCGAGGCAGTTCCACCTTGGCAAAGACAAGGGCTAAACCCGAGAATCCATTTCCCTTCCCGGCCTATTTCAAGTGCATCTATCTCTAAGGTAGGGTTACTGGCAACCAACCCCTACAAGACCATAGACAACAAGACAGGTGGCTGTTGGATCAGCTAGAAGCGCCTCTCTTGCCACCCTCCCCTGGTCCCTTTTAGCTTTCACCCTTCAGAGGAGCCCAGACGTGGAGAAAGTGCAGAGAACCAGGGGTGCAAGGGGATGAAGTGTTGGGTCTGGGGAAGAACCTCTAGGCTCTGAGGAGGCAGCTGTGGTGACATGCGCTGGCCTTACAGGCAGATCAGCCGACTCTGGGTCTGGTTCTGCCTCTGCTGGGCTGTTGACTGGGGCCAGGACGTTTAGGTCCTCAGGCAAAAGGAGACAATTTCCAGATACTTTGCGAATCTCCAGTGTGTTAATGTCTGTATGTGAAAGTACAGAGTTCATAAGGGACTCTATAGCTAGCTTTAAGTGGAGCACTTGTGGAGACCATACAGAAAGAGAACAAGGCTTTGTTCTTCTGCAACCAGGCTGCCACCCTGGGCCCTGGCCTCCATTTTCTGCCCAGAATTCCTCCCTAGGGCTCCTTCTGCAAACTCCACCTGCTGCAAAATGCAACTCATTCGGAGCTACGAAAACGACGTTTGATGTATTTTTAGGAAATGTCCAGGACGGGCAACTCTATAGATAGAGAAAGCAGATCGACGCCTGTCTCCGGCTGCGGGGGTGTGGGAGATTGGAACGCCGGCTTGTGAGTCTTTCTAACAGAGGATGGCAAAATTCTAAAAGTAGATTGTGTTGATGTTTGCACAATCCCGCACATATACTAAATAAAGCATTGCATTGTACACTTTAATCGAGTAAATTATATGGAGTGTGAATTCCATATCTACATTTTGAAAAAGGATGTAGTTGTACCTGACCCCAGAGGCCTGGGGGGGTGCGGGGGTGGGGGGAGGTCAGATGAGACAATGAAGTCAGACTGGCTTCGTTTCAGAGAATGTGTACCTTTCCCTAAGGTGATCCCTAGGGCAGAAGACTCTGACCATCTGATCCGTAATTTCCTTTGAGGTCTCGGTTTTTCACTTCCCCTTTCTCCAGTGTGAGGGCGGCTGGCCTGCAAACACCTCCCTCTGTCAAGTGGAAGTAATGTCGAGCCAGCCAGCCACCAGACTCGTGATGGACTCTCTAATGACATTTTCCTCTCCTTCCTCTGTGGTGTGTACAATGAGCTTTCTTTCTTTTAAAAATAGTTTCATTGTCATATACTTCACATATCGTACAAGGTCATCATTCGCGCAGTGATTGTTGTTAATGATTATGACAACAATAATCTATCTCTATAATAACAACAAACTATTGTGTTCGATTAAAAGACAATACCCACTTATGTTTGCACTCGCTATGAACAAAATCAGCATCGACTCCGTGGCAGTGAGTGTTAAATTTTTTCGGTCTGGTAACCAATAAGTCACCAGGGCTCCTTTAGCTACAGTACCTCCTGCTTTTTTTTCTTTTAATCAAAAGATCATTTTCATGCTAATTCTTATTCCCATTTCACAGACAAGGAAAGCCTGTTTCAGGGAGGGGAGTCCATGATGGTGCAAAAAGTGAACGTGCTCAGCAGCTAACTAAAAGATTTGAGGTTTGCGCCCACTCAGGTGCCTTGGAAGAAAGGCGTGGTTCCTGAAAGCCTTCAGAACAAAGTCTACGCTGACACACAGGAGGTCGCCAACTCCATGGCAACTGGAAAGTCACTGAGGATCAGGGATGTAAACTTAGTTTTCCAAGTTAGAGAACTAATAACGCCGTCGGGAGTCCGGGCAGAAGAGAGAAATGCGGGGACGGTGTCAGCCCGGAGGAAGTAAACGGAAGCCAGGAAACGAGCTTTCCCAGACCAGTGCGCAACCGGGGACCCACTTGGCCCCAGGCGGGGTCCCGCCCCTCCCAGGCCGGCGTCAGGGTGAAGCCCTCCCATTGGTCGTCCGTCACAGGGCCCATTCTCACACGAGGGAGGCGGCCAATCAGCGCCCCTCGTCTCCTCCCAGTCAGCCCACGCTCTGTCGCTTTGTGGTCGTCCCTCCCGGGGGACGCCGGGAGTTGTAGTCTAAGCGTGCCCTTGAGCCGATCCGGAAGGGAGACCGAGAACTACGCGACCCAGAGAGCAGAGCGCGGGACAGTTTGGCTTATAGGGAGCACCCCGCCAATCCTCCAGGACTAAGCTGGAACTTGCACGTTGGAGCAGGTGAGCGAGTTTGCGGGCTTGGGATTGGAGATGGGTTTGTGAGCGGGCCTTCTCACCCTGATGCTACTCTGATGCGCAAGAAACCCACTAGTTGCGTCGAAGGCTCTCCGCCTTGGGGATCTCGTGGGTCCGACTGGCTTCCCGTGCTGCGCCTGGAGTTCTCACCCAGAGTGCCGGGACCCCGATTTGTACCTCTGCTGCGAACCCCCTCTGCCGGCTCCGTTCTCCCAGCCGAGTTTTTCCGCGGCCATGTGCTCAGACCAAGCACGGCAGCCCGCATGTCCGCAGCCCCCCGGGGTCACGGACCGGCCCTCGCTCCTTCGCGGGAGCGTGGCCCAGAGTCCGGCCCCGCTCTCCACGCCCCATCATGGGGCATCTGGGCGCCACATCTGGTCCTGCTTCTTTCCAGTTGTGATTATATCCCTTCGAGCCTCAGTTTGGCCTCTGAACAAGGGTGATTTAAGGGTCTTTCCTAGCCCCTGATCCTGAAACACTTCCGATTGAAGGGTCCTCCCTGCCCCTCGTCCTGGGGCATTCTTGCACCGCTTCCTCCAGCAGCCTGGAAGACATTCAGTGCTGGTCGTCTTTCTTTCAGTGGCAGCCTGTTGGTCAGCCTCAGACGTCCCAATCATGCTTTTTGCCTCTTTCTGTGAATGCCCCAAACTGAACCCACAAGAAAGGTGGGATGGGGGAGTTGCCGCCGTGCATCTGCCGTTGTCCTTGCCTCTGTAGTGAGTGCTTGGTGCCCCTCCCTATACCACCCCCAGGAATGCCTCCGTCCCGCTGGCTGAGCTCTATGGGGGCCTTCCTGCTGCCAGGCCCCTGCTGGGTGCCCCAGGTGAGGTGCCTTCGAGTCCCAAGGCAGCCCTCCCTGGTGCAAGGGTGCCCAGTCCTGGGGGCCAGGCGCAGTGCCCGCCGCTGGGGCCAAGCGTGGATAGAGGAGCCTCGGTGAGTGTGGTGGAGGTGAGGGGCATCGGGGAGGGGAGCAACCCACCAGGGATCTGATTTGTCCCCCCCTTCCACTCTCTTCAGAGCATTTTGCTCCTCTCTCAGAATGAATGGAGACCAGAAAGTGGACGCTTACGCCCAAGAAAAGGAGAATTTCATCCAGCATTTCTCCCATGTGCTCAAAGTGCTGGTCGAGGATGACCTGGGGCACCCAGAGACGGGAGACGCTGTTGCCCGGCTCAAGAAGGTGAGGGATCATGCCCCTTGGCGTGAAGGGGGCCTCTGGCCCTCTGCATCTGGGGGATTGAGTGGTGGCTTTGCGGGGGACTTTGGCCAGTTTTTCCCTAGTGACTGGGTGTGCCCTGAAGTAGGTGGGGCCTTTGCCTATCAGTTCCATCCCTTAGCTCTGGTACCAAACTTGCTCTGCAAGGGCATGGAGGGCCACCTTGGGGGTGGTCCTTGAACCTGATGAGTGTTCGACTATCCTGAGAAAAGACACTAAAACTCAAACGATTCCAACTCATAGCGACTCTTTAGGACAGTAGAACTGCCGCCGCAGGTTTCTGAGAGAGACTGTAACTCTTTCTGAGAGTAGAAAACCTCTTCTTTCTCGCTCAGAGTAGCTAGTGGTTTCGAACTGCTGACTTTGCCATCTGCAGCTCACTGCATCACCCACTTTGTGTCAGTACTGTCTGAGGGGAACCAAGGATAGAAGAGGACTTTCTATGCTGGGATGGGGCTTAACAGAGGAGCCTTCTCAGGGGCTTAGGGCTGGTTGAGGGCAGGGCAGCGGAAAGCAAAGTGAGAGACCACAACTGGAGGAGATGCCATTGGAGGGGGGTGGAGGTGTCCCCCAATCTGTCCTTTGTCCAGTTCTGTGGTGCAAGTGAAGGAGGATTTTGGTTGACAGGCAGCTTGAATGGTGGGTGGGAGGAGTTAGTTGGGTAGAGGGATGAGTTCTGAAGAGGAAGTTGGGGGAGGGCAGACAGCTGAAGCTGAGCCAGCAGGGCCAATCCCAGAGCTGGGTCAGAGTTTCCCCAAAGCTCAAGCCCTATGCTGAGCTTGGGACCGATGTCTGTTCATGTGTGCTCTGGAGCCTTAAAGAACCCTGATGGCCCCTAGTGTTTGGCTGCTGGCTGGGAGCTCACCAGTGACTGCGGGAGAGAGCATGGCAGTCTGCTTCTGTAAAGACAGATGGTGTCAGGAAGCCCATGGAGCAGGTGTCCCCTGCCCTATAGGGTCGCCGTGAGTTGGAGTCCACGCAACAGCGTCTGCTTTTGTTGAATGTTTTTTTTTTTAAGATCATTTTATTGGGTGCTCTTAAAGCTCTTATAACAACCCATATATCAGTTGTATCAAGCACAATTGGACATATGTTGCCACCATCACTTTCTAAACATTGACTTTCTATTTGAGCCCTTGGTGTCAGCTCCCCTTTTTTCCCTCCCTACCCCGCCCCCCAGTTGATAACTTATTATTGTTGGTGGTGTTTTCATGGAAGCTTTCAATTTACTGGGGGCTGCAGACCAGAGGGAGCAGCGAGGGCCTGGAGACTTCTCTCGCTGGGCTCCAGGGCTTGGGGCGAGGAGAGAGCCATTGCAGAGCCTGCCTAGAGGAGGGGTTGAGGGGGGACGAACCGCTGGGTGGGGCCTAAAAGTACGAGAGGGCAAGGAGAGGTCACAGAGGAGCTCCTGCCTGGACGCTGACACCCTGTCTCCCTCCTCCCGCACCCAGGTCCTGGAATACAATGTCATCGGAGGCAAATACAACCGAGGTATGACGGTGGTAGCTGTGTTCCAGGCGCTGGCGGAGCCCGGGCAGCAGGATGCTGACAGTCTGCAGCGGGCGCTGACCGTGGGCTGGTGTGTGGAGTTGGTAAGGGGGCTGCCTGGACAGGAAGGGCCTGAAACTGGTCGCCGATTGGTGTTTGGTCCCTCTGTCATCAGGGGACAGTCCGACGGGGAGAGCTAGCAGGGTGTGGGCCTTCTTTTGCTGTTGGGTCCGTACTTTCAACCGCAGTCCAGCTATGGACCAGGGCTTCAGAACTGGCAGAGAGGCCTCAGCTCCGCCCTCTGAGCAGAGGACAGACAGAAGAGTGATGACCGCCGTTCAGATGGTGATTCTGAAGCAGAAAAGGAATCCTGGCCACCCACCATTCATTCTTGAAAATGTTGTAAACGCTCGTGGCTGGGTGCTGTCAAGCTGGCACTTAGCCCAGAGGGGATCACTGCTGCCCGGCCCGCACCGTCCCTCTCTCACTGGACCTCTTCCTGTTGGAGCCCAGTGTCACTCAGCCAGCACAGGGGCTCCTCCTCTCCCTCCACCCAGCAGGATGCCCTCCCCTGGTCTCAGGTCCGAAGTCCAGGTGGTGAAACTGCACTTTTTAAGGCACATGTTTAGCCGTATCCTCTACAGACGTGTTCATTTTGTATGTGTGTGTGGGAATCAGTCCACTCAATATTCTTCCCCAGGGTGCTTAACTCGTGTCCAGCTGACACATGCCTGTGAGGCCCTGGAAAACACTGTGGCTTGAGTCAGGGTCCTCTCAAAGTGTCACCAGGGAGTTGTGACACTTGGAAGTCCCTTGTAGCGGGTTTCCCCAGCACAATCAGTGGCTCATCTCCTGAGCGTGGCTCTGTGTGAGTTCCTGCGTGTGCCCCGCCCCGAGCTGCAGGCAGTGCTCAGGACTGTTGCTGGCGGCCGAGGAGCCTGAGGTGCTTCTCTGAGATGATGTGAAACGGAACTGCCCTGCCACCACCCCTCTGAGAGGCCAAGGATGGCCCGGGCTCAAGTCGGGAGGGGGCACTGCTTCCTTCCCTGGGTGCTGTGCCCACAACCAGAGCGCTGGCTGCACCGGCTCTTTCTACACCGGAGCTGTCTCAGTGGGAGATGGGGCCATGCCTGACACCAGGGACCAGGGTTTGGAAACTGAGTCTTGCAAAGCTGCTTAAGGAAAGCCCGTGGAGCATGACTGCCAGAGCACAAGGGAGTCCTCTTCTGCCCATCCCTCAGGGGCCGGGGCCAGGCTGTGCGAGGACATGGGAATGCCGAGACTTGTGGGGACTCCCTAAGGGGACTAAAGGGCTCCCCCCATTCTAGGGGAAACACGCTCAGCTCCCTGTGCGTGGACTGGCCCCGCAGAAAAAAGACGGCATTCGCCGGAATCTGTCCAGTTCCAGCCCAGGAGATGTGCAGCCCCCCAATGGGTGGCCTTGCGGGGGGGTAGGGTGGGGTGGCTAGTCTCTGTGGCCCCTGGGGTGTGCAAGCCAGGGAGCTCTAGGCACAGCCTTGGTTGTGTAAGAAGGCAGGTGACATCTTACTCTATGCATCCACTGGGGTCTCAGGTGAGACAGGACAGAAGGTGCAGGCGTCCCCTAGTCCCCCGGCACCAAGGCTGCCCTAGGCTTGCCTCTGACTTGGGAAGTTTGAACCACAGAGGTGGGCAAGGCCGCCTCTCCTGGCCTGTCTTGTTCAGACTCCTGGGACCCCAGGTGAGAGTAGAACTGGCCCAGGGAGGTTGCTTGGCTAGACCCTCTGGAAGCAGATGGCCACTCCTTCCTTGAGCAGAGCTGCTGCCGGTATCACAGCTGGTGGCAGCCACAGTGAGGGTCCTGGGGGCTTAGCCCATGTGTCCCTCTCTTGCTAGCTCCAAGCTTTCCTCCTGATACTGGATGACATAATGGATTCATCCCTCACCCGCCGGGGGCAGCCCTGCTGGTACCAGAAGGTAAACAGCTGGAGACCACAGGGAGGTGCAAGAGGGAGCTGGCTGGCGGGGTTGGGGGTGGTGGTGGGGTGATTGGTGACTGGCTCATTCCCGCCCCTCCCTCCCTGCCTCCACACACAGCCAGGCATAGGTCTGGATGCCATCAATGACGCCATGCTGCTGGAATCCTCTATCTACCGCCTGTTGAAGTTCTACTGCCGGGGGCAGCCCTACTACCTGAACCTGATGGAGCTCTTCCTGGAGGTGTGCTGCAGCCTGGGCAGCTGGGGGCGGGCACAGGACATACTGAGGGTTCCCGGAGGAGGCGGAAGGGAAACGAGAAAGGAGGCTGGGGAGGCTGGAGTGGAGGCGGCCAGGAGGTCTGCTCTGCCCCTGTGCCGCTGGGAGAAGGGGCGGGGAGGGGCAGGGAGAGAGAAGGTGAGCCTGGAAGGAGCTCTGGCCCCAGCGAGGGCGTTTTCTCTCTGCACCACTGTCGGCTGGTACATGAGGACATGGGTCCAGGGTGGCAGGGTTCCCAGTCCTTGGGGGTGGTCCAGCTCACGGCCTCTCTACCATCCGCAGAGTTCCTATCAGACTGAGATAGGACAGACCCTGGACCTCATCACTGCCCCTCAGGGCAACGTGGATCTCAGCAGATTTACCCCAAAGAGGTGAGGGACTAGGGCGGGGGCTCAGGCCTGGCAGTGAGGGTGGCCCCCGGGTGGATCTTGCCCTCTGAAGAGTTTATCTTCTCCCTTGACTCAGGTACAAATCCATTGTCAAGTACAAGACCTCGTTCTACTCCTTTTACCACCCCGTCGCTGCTGCCATGTACATGGTGAGTCTGTGCCCCCGCCCTCCCTGCCTGTGGGCTCCCGGGCAGGAGGGCACAGGGAACGGGGCTTCCTGGAAGGGGCAAGAAAGCAGAGCAAGGAAGGAAGCTGAGAAGAGTAGCCAATGAAGGATGATGGCCGTGTGGCCTCCTCTGAGAGTGTCTCCCCCGCCATAATGTGAGGGTACAGCCCCTACCTCACAGGGCTGGTGTCATGCTGAATCCAGGCATGGGGTATGCTCAGTCAGGCCATAATGGAGCAACACACCTGGAATCTGCAGAGGGTGAGTAGGCGGATGAACTGCCCACTCGGCTGCTTCCCAAGGAGCCCTGGTGCCACAGTGAGTTCCGTGTTCCCTAAGTGTCTTTGTCTCCGGAGCTGGCACTGGGGAGACGACTGAAGTGGTGACCCAGGCCTAAGGTCTTGTGAGAGAAGATGGCCTGAGGAGGGGCCCTCCAGAATGGATTTTTTAAATTCTTAGAATTCTTCCGATTCCTAAGAAAGCTTAGCCACAAAGCAGTAGGAGTTTTGAGCTTCCTAGATTGGCAGTGGGGAGGCCAGAGGTGACGGAATGGAGAGGAGGTTTGGGGGCTGCATTCAGGGACAAGACCCCACAGGAGGAAGGGGAGGTGAAGGACCCTCTTGGCTGTAGCTCCTCAGTGCCCTTTCCCTGCAGGCGGGCATTGACGGGGAGAAGGAGCATGCCGATGCCAAGCGGATCCTGCTGGAGATGGGCGAGTACTTTCAGATCCAGGTAGGCAGGCACGAGGCGCTGACAGGGACAGGTGCCAACTCTCCTTCCCTGCCTGGAAGCCTCGTCACCCCGTTTTTCTGCCCTCTCCTCACACCTCAGGATGATTATCTGGACCTCTTTGGTGACCCCAGTGTGACAGGCAAGGTTGGCACTGACATCCAGGACAACAAATGCAGCTGGCTGGTGGTTCAGTGTCTGCAGCGGGCCTCTCCGGAGCAGCGTCGGGTCCTGCAGGAGAATTACGGACAGAAGGAGGCAGAGAAGGTGGCGCGGGTGAAGGCCCTGTACGAAGAGATGGAGCTGCCGGCCGTGTTCC